TGTAACATCCACCGCTAGATAAATAAATAAAAAAATGTAAAAAATAAATAAAAATTAAAATTTGGATTTAAATAGAAAAGTTTTAAGAATTTTGGAGGTTTATTCAATTCTAAGAACTTAAATGAAAACAAGTAAAAAAAAAATGTAAAATTATAAATAAGTAGAAGTGGAAGGGACCAAAAGAAAATAGGGAACGAATGGTCCTAATTGAATCGTCTGAGAATATTAAAGGCTAAGATTTTATGAAGAATGAACGGCCCATATCGAATTAGAGAGATCCAACGGTTGGGAAGGACGAGTATAAAAAGAAAAAAATTAGGGTTCCTCTTTATTTGTGAGAGTAGCCAAAAAATAGAGAGAGGGAGAAGGAGAGAGGAGCCGATCGGGGGGAGAGAAGGGGAAGGTTTGTCGAGTGAAGGAGCCAAGAGGAAGAAAGAAAGAGAGGAAAAGAAGGGGGAGGCTGGATAAAAAGAAGGAAAAGAAGAAAAAAAAAAGTAGAGTGGGAGAAGGAAAGGGGAGCCGAGAACAGTCGCCTCAAGGGAAAAAAAGGAAAGAAGAGAGAGGCGGAGATAGGAGAGTGGTGGAAGCGAGTTGAAAGGAAGAAGAAGGAAGAGGAATCGGCCCGAGACGTCGTGCGACAACAGAGACCAATGCGAGCAACCTATGGAAACTGAAGGGTCTTCCTCGAGAATGTGGACTAGATTCACCCATTTGCGATTCGATTCACTATTCAGGAAAGTAAAAGTCTTTCTCGAGTATGAAAATTCGATCTCCTGAACGAGAAGCCGAAAAGTCTTTCATGAGTACATATCCTAATATTTTTAGATATTCCGTCGGGTTGTCATTGAAACCCTTGATTTTGGTTAAATTAATTTTTTTTTAGTATTTAAAATTATATTAATTAAATTGTGTCGTGTGCGTATAGAGAATTATGACATTCAGGCAGATTCAAAAAGATTGTTGCATAGGAGTGTAAGTATTTCTGATTCTAAACTTGGATTCGAATTTTAAAATTTGCATTTTTTTTATTAATTTATGTGTATTTTAAAATTTGAACGGATACTGACCCAATTTTCGAAGAAGAACAAAACTCGAACCTATAACTAGTGAATCTAAGATATTAGAAATTATAAGAAGACGAAACCAGAAAACAAACTCAAAGACTAAGGAATAGTTGGACTGTGATAAAAAATTGATTTAATAATAAAAAAAAAATTACTAATTCAGTAGAAAGTTAAAAAAGAAAATAAAATAACATAAAGAAACGAATAAAAATAAAAAAGATTATTTATGGTGGTGAAACGATGAGTTAACTAATATTTCAGATAAAGAAGAATAAGAATAAAATAAATAAAAAATGAGAGGGGGCGCGTGATTAGGGTATGAATCCCGAATACCTTTTTCATTTAGTCTGAATCGATGAGGGAGGTGTGTGTGTGTGGCCGAAGTTCAACGGATATGGTGAACATGCACAAGGATAGAGTTTGAAACATAATCCAAACGTAGATAACTGTTTGTGATCGTGGGTCACCTAGCAAACGTACATGTTGTAGCCGTTGTGAGATTTCTGTTTGTGTGCTATCCATGTGATGGGGGAATTCATTTCGCATCTTCTCGATAATGACATAAACGGCATCGCACAATGAAACCTAAAAATGACATTTCGTGTGTATGTGATTATATTTTGATATTATGATTGGCATTCGAGAGTATATATGTGTTCTTTCGAGAGTATGTAGATATGCATTCAAAGATTGTATATGATATTCGAAAGAAATTCAGAAATCCAATCCGAATATGTGAAATTGTGAAAATAATAAATAAATTTTACATTTGAAACATTAGTATTGCATTGGCCTTATTTGTGTGTTGCATGAAATTTTATATGGGTTAGAATAACGGAAATATTTATTAAGTTGGTGAAACTCATTAAATTTTATCTTGATATTTTTTAGAGGAGAAAGAAGAGTTGGAACTGCTGCCAGACGAATAGGACTTGTAAAAGGGTTCCTATTTATGTATATTTTGTGCACATTTGAAAAATTTTCGTTTTGTTTTGTTAAACTCTAAATTTTGACTTTATGTTCTGTATATATAATTATTATATATATATATATATATCACATAAGATGGTAGGTTGTATGATAAATTTTGATCTTTGTATATGTATATTTTTTTGGGTTCATTGTATGAAAATTGTATGAACAGAAATTGCATCTCAAATCGAGTATGGGGTGTTACAGCATCATAAAACGTTGAATCTGGTTACCCATATGTGAGGGTATCCATTTATCACCTCAATTGAGGATCTCTTATCCATTCTCTATTCTACGTCAACTTTCTTCTAAGAAATTCCTCCTCGTAAGGATACTTCTCAACATATAACTCGGGTGGTCATCCAATTAAGTTAATCAAAAACTTACATTTCCAAAATATTTTCAACGCATCCATTTCAAGAACATATAATTAATATCATTCAATAAACCTCACTGCTTGCTTTACTGTGTCATATTGGACCTTTGAAAATTTCAGAAGTTCAAACTCTTATTTAACTTCTTCGAACACAATTTTGACAATTTAAGACAGTAAATTTTACTTAAATAATTTTCTTTAACTTTGTAAAAATCTAATAATTATTTATTTCATTTGATAACAAATGTTCTTCAGATGTAGAAAAACACTTGTGAAATGCATAAAATTGGCTATGCCATTACCGTAAGCATTATTCCTTTTCTTGGTCGTAAAAGCTTTTCCATTTTCTAACCTTAGATCCTTTTTGCGACCCTCTTCGCCAAGAAGCTAAATGTGTCTTTAAAAGATCTCCCAATAATTGTAGGTAGTCCCAAATATTTGTTATATAACCAGTCTCCTCTTCAGTTGATTTCACTTTTGAGTTTTCACCCATTCAAATCTATTCATCTTTTCAGCAATTAAAATTAAAAATTTGCACAATTTGAGATTTAACACGGTCTTGTGAGTTGATGTGTGCTGGGTAGTGGACTCTCTATTTGGACTTACAGTATGAAAGTGGGTGGGGGGGGCATTAAAACACAACCAGCCGGGTAGTACATAAAAAGAATACCTAACTTGTCTTCCTCTAATTTTTAAATTAATTAATTTGAAAAAAAAATAATTATTAAAAATATGCCCATACACTTACTGTTTTTTA